CTCTGGAGCCACAGTCCAGGAAAGCTGAGAGCTGAAACTCTGGGCTGTGAAGGCCCACAGAGGAAGAGCCTGGAGAGCCCACCTCTGGCCATCAGTCTCTGATGCTCTGTTCACGGCTGTCCCCTGAGAGGTCATGGGCTTCTCTGTTTGACCCAAGCAGGTACTCAGGGTCAAGGCTGGAACCCAGGTCTCATGTCCCCTGCTCTTTGCTTTGTTCTCGCTGCCCCTGACCCAGGGCCCTTCTGTATCCCTGACCTTGTCCCTGCCCTGGTCCCCTTCCCTCTCTGCCCTGAGTTGTTATAAGACCCCCTCCTTATTCCCCATCCCACTCTACCCCCTGACTTCCCATCAGTAAACATGACAGGCTGTTCTGGGGTGGAACAACAGGCCAGTATCCCAAGTGGCCAATGTCCCCTAAGGACAGGCGGTGGAGCTGGCTATAGCTTCTAGTTTCCAGTTAGGCCTGAACTACTGACTCTGTTCCAGCTAAAAGACACTATCAGTGTCTCTGAACTCTGTCTGCACTAAGTTCTAGAGGGACAGCTTTGGGATGCACACAGCATGCCCAGTTCCTGAGGGGCACCAGGTCTGAGAAGCTGAAATTGCCATGGATTGGCTGCACTTGGAGAACGGACAAGAGGAAGGGAAGAAAAGAAGGAAGAGAGGGAGAAATCAGGGTGGCCATCCCTGCTGTGACGTCACCACCGCAACAACATCTCTCCGTGGGATCAATTCCTGATCTCAACAGAAACTTCCAGTCACAAAACCAACAGACCTCACAGGAGTTCTGTAACAGGCAGAGGGAGGGAATAGGACAAGGGTGGATCCAGGGACTCAGGGATGTGGGGCTCACATAGAAGACCGCAAGCAAATGGCAGAGATGACTGTAGATATTTGCCGGTGGGGATGTGCTCCTGATGCGTAGAAGCTCAACACCATGCAAGCTCAGAGACCCGCTTGACCATCCCAAAAGCATGCTTCCTCCCTAGCACACACTCTAGTGGAAGTGATGCCTAGATGCTCAGCCCACTGTCTAACTGCCTCCCTGGAGGTGGTACCTGAAAAGCTCCTACTCTGAGTCTTACTCAGTAGTCACCATAAGAAATTTGATAGCCAGTGTGGTAGCACACATCTGGAAATCCCACTGCTGGGGAGGGGGAGGCAAGAGTATTGAGAGTTTGAGGCTAGCTTGGAAAACAAAGCAACACCCTGTCTCAAAAAACAACCACAAAATCAGAGATTGGTTAATTGTGACCCTTCATGCCTAAGCCTGCTGTGACTCAGCATGTTTCCAATGTGTCTTCAAGGGCTCTTGTGTCAGAGTTGGGTATATAGTATGCTTGGGCTCCTGAGAAGTGGTTGGTCCTTTGTAAGGTGGGACCTAGTGGGAGATACTTAGTTCTCTGGGTAGCTGCCCTTAAAAGAGATTAAGTTAAAGTCTTATAGGACCCCTGGGGTCTCACGAGAGTTATGAGCATGAGCCTGGGCCAGGCATAGTGGCTCACACCTGGACTCCTAGCAGTCAGGAAGCTAAAGCAGGGCAATTGTTGAGTTTGAGGCCAGCTCTAACTACACGGTGAGTTCCAGGCCATCCTGGGCTACACTGTGAGACACAATCAGAACAAAAAAGACAAGTGAGGTTGGTCCCTAAACAACTCTGGCTTCTTGGCTTAAGATACACTCTTTTCCTTCCACTTGTCCCTGGCACTGATACCATCCATCTTAGCATCCTCAGCAGAAGCCTAATTAATGGGACCACCCAATCTTGGACCTGAACCCCAGAAAGGTGAGCTAAATGTCTCTCTTTTCTCTATAAAATTAGACTGTCATAGTAATGCACGCCTGACTAGTACAGTTCCAGACAAGATTTTATGTCAATTTATGGCCCTCTATTAGTGGCCCTAATGGTTTCTGAAACTTATTTGAAAGTCAAATCTCGAAGACTTGGAGTTTCAGTCTCTTTGTGTTAAGGATGGCAACTGTGTTAAGAACAGTGCTTGAGGCTGATGGAGCATCTGAGTCTCACTCACAGCACATAGGAGCTGAGAGCCTCCTACAAAACCTAAAGGCTGTGGCTTCTTATCCAGGCTGAGGGCCAGACATTCCAGATCCACTCCCTCTCCAGAGCCCTCCACCCTCAGAGTTCCCATACTAGCACTCCTTTCTAAGCCAGGAGTTGGCAAGCTACTCCTGCCAGCCAAACCATGACTGCCGATGTGCTAAAAATAGGTTTTATAGTTTTTTAATGGCTGGGGGCAATCAAAAGAAAAATATGACGTGGGGGCTGGGGATGTAGCTCAGTTGGTAGCATACTGATCTAATATGCAGGAAGGTGTGGTTTGATCCCTAGCACCGAATACATTGAATTAAATCCAGTATAGTGATACACTCCTGCCATCCCAGCACTTGGGAAGCAGGAGGACCAAGAGTTCCAGGTCATGGCTAGAGAGATGGCTCAGTGGCGAAGAGCACTTGCTGCTCTTCTAGAGGACTCAGGTTCAATTCCCAGCACCCACATGGCATCTCACAGTGGAATCTGATGCCCTCTCCTGGCCTCTTTGGTATGTACAAGGTACACAGACATATGCAAGCAGAACACCCATATACATAAAATTGAAAAAAAATTAAGAATCGAAGTCATCCTCAATTACACAACTTTGAAGCCATGCTGGGCACATGAGGTCCTGTCAAAAAGAAAGGAAGAAGAAAGGAAGGAAGGAAGGAAGGAAGGAAGGAAGGAAGGAAGGAAGGAGGGAGGGAGGGAAGGAGGAGGGGAGGAAGGAGAGAGGGAGGGAGGGAGGGAGGAAGGGAGGAAGGAGGGAGGGAGGGAGGAGGGGAGGAAGGAGGGAGGGAGGGAGGGAGGAGGGGAGGAAGGGAGGGAGGAAGGGAGGGAGGAAGGGAGGGAGGAATGGAGCAAGGGAGGAAGGAAAAGGATCTTATGACCCATGGAAATTAGTGAATTCAAATCAGCCTTCAGAAAGAAAGTTGTTGTGCCCTCTCCAGTGTCCCCTCTTTGTAGTCATCCCTCTGCCCCTCTTGCCACTGCCCAGACAACCATTCATCTGCTTTCTATCAGCGCAAATGTGTTATTCCTTTTCTCAAACGTCAAGGAAGTGGAATCACACAGCCTGAGCTCTTTGTGTCTGGCTTCTTTCAGTGGGGAGGATGTTTTGAGACTCAACCATGTTATATCAATACCAGACCGGATACTTTCTGCCTTTGTTTGTGAGTGAAAGGAACAATCATGTCAGATCTGACGGCACGAATCGGAACTCCACGTGACCGGTCAGGACAGGAGTCACTCTAGGTACACGGCTGTTTGGTGTTTCTCAGCACAGGGGCACTTCTGGTCACAAGGTGGACATCTACAGTCATGTGTGTGTTCTTCGGGTCAGCACATTGTCTCTGTTTTGTGGATGTGAGCGGGAAACCGTTGATGGGCACGTATCCGCCGCCTCGCACAAGAAACGCCAATACTGTGTTTGCTGATGGAAAAATGAAAAGACTGGAATAACCTTCAAACACAACTTCAACCACTGGATATTTTTGAGTGGTTGTGCATTTTCTTGTAGCTGGACATAGTGGCACATGTCTTTAGTCCTAGCACTGAGGAGGCAGAGGCAGGCAGATCTCTGTGAGTTCAAGGCCAGCCTGGTTTACATAGTAATTCCCACACCAGTCAGGGATAAGTAGTGAAAGCTTGTCTTAAAAAAATAAAGTTACTTGTAATTTTTAAATTTTTGATTATGTGTGTATGTGTGAGGGTGCCCATGGAGGCCAAAGGCATAAGATCCCCCAGGAGCTGGGATTACAGGTAGTTGTAAGCCGCCTGACTGAGGTGCTGGGAACCAAACTAACTCAGGTCCTCTGTAAGAGCACCATGAGCTCCTAACCACTCAGCCATCTTTCCAGTCCTGCTTGTAAGTTTTATTTCACCAATTTGTTCAAACAAAATTTGCCAATTATGCTCCACGAAAATTTGAAGAAATCACATTGCCATTTCAAGCATCTAACTGGATACTAATAGGTTTACATTGTAACAGACTTGTGTTTAGTGGTAAAACAGATGTGATTCCTTCATTTAGACTTTCATACAAATTCAATACCTAACATTTTCCTTTACTTTGTATTTTAGTTATAAGCATAATAAAAATTTCTTTCACTAAGCCCCATGCAGGCACCTCCAAACTCATTTCAGATGGCCCCATGTGTCATACTTGTCATACCCGTCTGTACTCTGTATGAACTGTAAAGAGGAAGCAGTTGACATCTCACTGCCCCAGACCAGGAAAGTCCCCGCTCTTGATTAGCAAGGTGTCTTACTAAGGAGGCCCCTCCTGCCCCCTAGTGGTCATTTTTGTACATGATTCTCAAGAGGAAAATGTGATTAAGAGGTAATAAACTGGTTTTGTACAGGCAAAGCTATCATATCATCCTTGCTACACAGTCTTTGTGCCTACCACGGGTCCTGGCAGGGGTTGTGCCTTCACAGGCTTCCTCTTGGTGGTCTACCATCCCTGGGGAGGTCTAGCTTGTGGCTCTGCTCTGGCAATTTCATCACACTCTCTGCCTTCGTCTTCATTACTACATCACAAGCCAAGTCGCCACCCTTGGCGTCACCTAATACCATTTTCATTAGACCCCCATTCCTAAGCCTGACAGATCAAAGGTCTGTAAGAGGGAAAGGAGAGAGTTGACTGGAAGGAAAACACCCACTGTTTCAGAGATTGATACCGACAGGCAGACTCTAGGTCCCGGGCACTCAGGGAATTTGGGATCCTCTTGACACAGCACAAGGAAAGAGCCACGCTGGGTCATAAGCACTCAATGCACCCTCTGTGTCTAGGCAGAGACCCAATCTTTTTGTCACTAGCCACAGCACAGAACAAGTGGTCACAAGAAGAGAACAGAAAAGTCCTCCTCACTTCAGCTCATAACCAAGTCTCAGTTTCAAGTTACCCATGTGTGCTGGATAGTTGGGTTCTTTGCTTTGTTTTTTTGTTTTTGTCAAAACATCTGAGAAGGGTCATCTGAGAAGATGGAGCCTCAAGTGAGAAAATGCCTCCACGAGATTTGTCTGTAGGTGAGGCTGTGGGACAGTGACTTGATTATCCATTGACGTAGAAGGATCAAGCCCACTATGAGTAACACCAGCCCTGGGCAGGTGACCCTGTATTGCATGGGGAAAGGAGCTGAGTGAGCCGTGGAGAGCAAGCTTGTAAACAGTTTTCCTCCGTGGGTCCTGCCTCTGCTCCCGCTTTGAGTTCCTAACCTGATTCCTGTGATCAGGGGTATAAGCCAGATGAAGCCTTCCCTCTCCATTTTGCTTTTGGCAATGGTGTTTATCACATCAACAGAAAGCCAAACTGAGCAAACTCTAGAATCAGTCTGGAATGTTCTGGCACTCCATCTCATCTTTGTCCTCCTCTGCTGTTCTTGGAGCCTCTGCTGGCTGGAGGCCCCAGACTCCTTGTTCGATCCTGCCCTCCTCTCCCAGACAGAGCCCCATGAGTCCACTGGGAAGTGCTGTCAGAGGTTGTGTTAGAACTGGGGAAGGGCAGCTTGTATGCCAGAATGGATGTCAGGACGTCATTCAGCCTTTGTTTGTGAGTGGGGCTTCTGATGTACCCCTCCCTCCAGCAGGCTCAGCAAATTCAAGTCTTAGTATCTACTTAATCCCTCTTCTCTGAACTGTGAGCAGACTTGCCTTAGGCCATGAAGTTGGCAGCAGCCAACTAATCTCTTCCTAGTCAGGGATCCCTGGAACATGACAGGCAAGGACACTAGTGCCCAGGGCCTCAGGCTCAGGTCACACCCTGGAGCTGTGGGGCAACTGTCCTGGGTCACCAGGCTGTCAGTGTCATGGGTCCCATCTTACTGCATAGCTGCCTCCTACAGGTGATCCCACAAACCACTGTGACCATCAGAGACCTCCAGAAGGGTGTTATGCTATCACCTTGGTCTTTCAGGAGATTAATTTTATCCTGGGTTCTGTATAACATTAGTCTTCTGCTTAGAAGAAATCAAAACAAAGTCTAAATGGCTTATGTAATAAAATAAAATTAAAAAGTCCTGGGATAGTGAGCTTCAGGCAAGGCTACTTACCAGGCTGTAAAGATAGCTCTCTTCCCTTTTGGTATCCATCTAATTTCACATAGAAGGAAAATGATTACTGGCAACTCCATGCTTCATCTCCTAGACACAAGTCCAATGTTCAAGTCCTGCAGTTCTCTGTAGACATAAACCAATGTTTGTAGACTGGGGAAACAGCACATTCACTAAAGTCCTTGCCACACAAGCAGGAGGACCTGAGTTCTGTCCCCAGAATCCCTTATTTAAAAAAAAAAGCAGCCATGGTGTACACATTTGTAATTCAACACCATGGATGTAAAGACAGGTGAATCCCTCAGGTTCCCTAGCCAATCAGCCCAGCCTATTTGAGACCCAGGCCAACGGGAGAAAACATGGTATTGGACTAGTGGGTGCCTCAGCAAGTAAAGGTACTTGTTGCACAAACCTGGCAGCCTGAGGTTTCATCCCCAGGACCCATGTAAAGGCAGAAGCAAAGAATGAACTCCACAAGTTGTCCTCTGACTTCCAACATGCAGCATGGCATATGTGCACATGAATACACATGAGAGAGGTGGAGGTGATCACTACTGGGACATGCATGGCTCTGAACTCATCGCTGTAACCATCAGCAAGAGCAGGATGCAGTCCCCTGAGGTCTGGATGCCAAGGAGCCTCTGGTCTTTCTGAGTCCGATCTCCTGTCCATGACCTCTCCCAGGTCTCTCCTGGTCTCTCTTTCTCTGCTCTGGCTCCAGGTGTGGAATGTGAAGGGCTTGGAAAGTACGGGGTAGGATAAAGACCAGTCAGGAAGGCAAAACATCTCTTCTAGCTCCAGATAGCTTTGACTGTGAAGGCGAAGTCTTGGATTTCATACAGTAGGAGACTGAGAATAGTCAAAAGTCTCTGGGTGGGTGAGTAAGAGCCCTAAGAGCCCTGAGATACACAGTGGCTTGGATCATACAGCAAAGAAGGGGCAGGCACAGGCCCTAACTCCATGCCTCTTTATGCCATCCTGGATGCAGGAGCCAGCCCAGGCAGCCTCCAACACAGCAGGGCCATCTGGGAACCCTGGAGATTATCAGCCTTGACCCATGTTGCAATGGAGCCAAGCGTGCACTGCTGAGCTCCAAGCCAAAGCAGGGGATTAGAGATTAGAAACCTGTACAGTGAAACAGAGCCAGCACCTGGGAAATCTCAGGAAGACTCACACTGGCACCTGAAATTCAGGCTAAGGAATTCAGTTTTAGTGAATTCTTGTAGACAAATGTAGAGGAGATGAAGGAGCCAGCCCTGAGCTCAACCATGCTTGGCTCTGTGTGGGCACCATCTCTGACAAAGCCCAGAGCTCAAGGGAGGAGACAGCCAACTAGGGGAAACGGGTGGATGTGTTGCTAGTTGTCACTAGCTATCTGGACTGGTATTTCCAAGTTCTTGGCATCATACTGAGAGAATTGAAAGAGCACACACAAACGGAGCGTAGCAAGTTTTATTTAAAGAAACAGTACAGGATATGTTGCAAGGGAGCAGTGGGATACTTGGGTTAGAGTACCCAAAAAAGCAGCGAGTTGTTGTTTGGGGCCTTTCATGGATTCAGGAGAATGAGGAGTTAATTGTTAGGAGGTGAGGAAAGAGTGTTCTTTCTGTTTTGATTGGCAAGCATGGATTATGTAAGCCTTTGTTGCCATGATCATATAGTAGTGAGTACTCCATGATATAAGCTTATGTTCACCAGGCATGACCTTTCCCATGATTTATCTGACTTTAATCATATGAATGCCTGATTATGCATAGGCATAAGATGGTAAATAGTGGCTTTCCCTATTTTACCCAGAGAACACAGTTTATCTTGCTTGTATGCACCAAAAATGAGCTTAGGCAGGATGGGGCCGTGCCTCCCATTATCCCCTCATATGTTTGGGGACATGTTTGAATGGGAATCAGGCATTGCCATAGTGATTCACACCATTCATTGTATCAAGTGCAGTGTATATGTGGCTTACTTCAGGGGAGAGTACCAGGTTGCCAAATACGTTAAAAGAAAGGTATGGATATAGATAGCCCAAGCCAAGCAGAGTCCCAGGATACTAAGCATTCCCTGTTTTCCTGCATCAAATGGGGGCTGCCTCTGATCTCCAAGGGCCATGGTGGTACTCCTGATGAGCCTAGCATTTACCCCGCAGCATGGAACTGAATTAAGGCTGGCAACACTAATGTTAGCATCCAAAATAGAGAGAGAGAAGCCATTTGACCCCTGCTTTAGAATGAGCCAGGACATCAGACAAAAGATCCATAATTTCCATGAAAACAAGAATTTAGCTGTCTGGATCATTAAGTATCCCCAGTGTCTAGAACACAGACAGACATGCAACAGGTACCTAATAAACAATTGAGACAATCTGTCCCCGTGGCTGTAGAGGAGCAATGTTTTTTATGACTCTCACAATGTACTGTACCATCTTCATATAACAAATGTCAAGTCAACACGTGTTGGTTGGTTAGGAACTTACTGTCCTAAGAGTTGCTGCCCACCCCAGCTAGAACATTTTATCCTTAGTCTCATCAAAAATGTTGACTGATACCACACTTCCCCCTTAAAAAAACTAGGCCAGAGACCAGGACATTTCAGTCCTAGGAACAGCCAGTAACTATCAAGGACAGATGTGCAA